CTGACTTCACGTACTCTGATGCTTCACAACATCCGGAAAACTGTCAAGTAGGGAAGCTAGATTCTGCACAGGAAAATAATGTTAACATCAAACCATTTGACATTTTCAGAGATTATGAATCTTGCTGGGTCACAGGATGATTTCTAAGTAGGAATAGGAAACCATAAATTACAGCATCATCCCGCCCTCAGCATGACCCATAGAACCTGCTCATCAAGTACAGCCCTGAGCTTCCTGGGTCTGAGGTGTCCTGTGATTGTTGAGAATGTTCTATAGAGAAGTCATGTTTGAATTCACACTTTGTCCTGTAACTACTATTAAAGATGATTCTTGAAATAATGCATACATACACGTATATACATAGAAGAAGATAGAATTATCACTTAACAGGATGTAATGCACCAAATAGCTATGTCATGCTAGGAAATAATACACTAGTACTGGAAATAGGTTACCTCCTTTTGAGATGTTGGATAACGGGGTCCATTCATTGCCCAAATGTTGAAGAGTGCTGCCCATGCTCCAGGTTACCCTCTAGACTTGGCACCCAGACACTACTGCTGAAGACACCAAGTACTTGAGTCATGGAACATGGAGATGCCAGCCTAGTACCAGCTGGAAGCTTCATCTATACTGGCCAGCTTTCACAGTTTAGGAAGTTGTTTAACTTCCTAAAGTTAATTAGGAGAGAAGGAATTATCAACCTTTCCTAGCTGCGAGTCCTGTGAGCTACCATAGTGACTGACCTGGTACAATATGCTCACTGGCACAATAGACACACTGAAATAACCATACACAGACACACACAGACACACACACACACACACACACACACACACACACACACACACATGCGAACACAAATATCTGAAGTCATATGAAAGAACATGTTAGAGCGTTTTCTTGGTAATACATGAGAAGAAACCAGTGCACTGTGGAGGTCAGGTTACCTCAGCACCTTCACAAAACTGTGTAGACAATTATAACTTCTGTTCAAGGTGTTCTACAATGTTACAGCACATAGTTCTCTTCTACCCATTTTCTTCTAAGAGAAACTAGAGAAGAATTTTTGCTGGGCTCTGATCACAGTTTTCTCAAATGAAGTATCCCCAAATCCACAGAAATTCACTTAAAGGATCATGTAACAACGTCATTCCATGCTCATTCAAACGTGAGTCCATATATTCTTTCCCAACACATTGATTGGAAATAATTTTAAAATTTAACTTATTTATTTTTATTTCCAGGACCTGCTTAAGATGTAAATCATGTGTGATCACGTTTCATGAATGCGGTCAATGTGTGACTGGTTCAGAAAACATGAATCTCCTTGGATATCAGTGTTATCCTCACAGGCCATCATACTTCCCTTAGGGGTAATGGTTTCAAAATCTGGTATTCCAGGCTGTCAACCTTCTGCACAGACTTATCCCATAGATAGATGTTAATTAATACTTCCCACAGAGACCACAAATTCAGATCAGAAAACCTTCTCCACATGTTTAGGTTGTATCAGGGTGTTTGTTGATGTATTATCTGTGAGCTTTTGACCAGGATCATTGTCAGGCTTCAGATTTTAATGTGTAAGACATTGGGCAAAGAGTTGCCTTCCTACAAATAAAAAGACTTAAAAAAAATCACTTCAGTTTTTAGGAAACAATACAATACATCAAAATCACTACAAAACTATGATCAAATAGGTTGAATTGTACATGCAGGAGACCCATGAAAGAACTGTGTTTACCTCAGCTGTGAGACAGATGTTTTGAGGTTGTCTATATCAAAGGGGACTATAAAACTATCAGAGATTTGGATTTGGAATTAAAATAATTCTACCAATGTTTGGAGGTTTCAGTTACAATGAATGTACAGAATCACTCATATCCACCAGCTGGACAAACATACATTAGAAATCCCAAGCAGTGGGCAGTGGATATTTTATTTTTAAACTTTTTTAAACATAATTAATCTGAGAGAGTGCCAACTGCCATCTGTATGAGAGCAGCAGATGGAGTGTTCCTAATCTCCTGACCAGGGTCCTCATTTTAGCAAAAGATCCCTTCATCCATTGGTCATCTGATGGGAACTTGATTTATCCAGACTGGCTTCCTTCCACTGGAAAACTGAAATCCACTGAAGAAAAGCCTGTTCACTCTGCATGTGTCTCAGATTCATTGCTGTGGCTCAGTCATGACAGTTCCCAGACTGTGATAAGTGTGTGCATTATCAACATCTTTGAGCTTCTCATTCAGATACCCAAACTCTGCAGTGACACTGGAGCAGAGCAGGACTGGGAGGCTGGGGTCCGTGGGACACCTCTGCCTCAAGGACTCCTTCCTCATCTTGATGAACCTCGCTGAAAATGAAATAAAACTCTCTGGCGCCCCCTGCATCAGCCAGTCTTCCATGACTGTTGTCATCCTCTCTCTTTCATATACCTCCAGAGATAGCTCTGTACCTCACAGAACACACACATCCAATACAGTTTTCTATTTTCTGCATCACTGATCATCAGAAATGGAAGTCAGGGGAGGAAGTGAAGCAGGGCAGGAACCTGGGTGCTGAAGCTGATGCAGAGGTCATCAGCAGAGTCGTCAGGTCTGTGTTCTAGACATGTGTGCTTGTCATGTACACCACAGAGGAGTACAGGAGACTAATGTGGGCTGGATGCAGGGCTCCATCCCAATCTTCCTGCCACTGCAGTCCTGATGGTGCACACAGATTCCGTATTTGGCTGACAAGATATTGCTCCTTAGGTTTTTCGATAATGGAAAACAATGTGCTATAAATTGGCAGCATTAATTCATCACTCATAGATCTGCATTCATACACATTCTTGTGACGTGACAACATGGTGATGCTGCACTTGTCTACAAGTAGGATCCTGTGAACAGTGACTCAACGCAGACTCAAGTGACCACTGGACAATTAGCACTGAAATAAATATTAGTGATGAACACACATTCTGGAACACCAGTGGCTGAAGAATGAGCTTAGAGTGGACAGATTCAAGACCGGAAGTTGGTGTTTGTAATCAGAGCCTGTATCTTGTGGACAACTCATCCCTATTCCTGTACCTCTTTTGGAAACAGGGATTCAGCAGCATCTGACTCCTCTCTTCCTTTGCTGTGGTGCTGCAATCTTCCACCCTGTGCTCTCAGCCTCCCCAGGCTCCTCCCTTTGCCCTGCTTTGCAATGATGCACATCTCCTTCATAATTTACAGAAACTACAAGAAAGTTGTTGTTTTGCTCTCAGAATTCATCTGTAACCAAACATCTCAGAACCTGTAGACCAAGGTCTTTTGAAAGCTGAGAAGAAATCACAGAATTCATCAGTTTCTGTTATTAGCCTGTCTGAACCTCAGTTTCCAGGTAGCACTAGTTTCCAGTCATTCCCTAGTGCAGCTGTGGCTGGGAAGCTGTTGTGGGCCCGACCTTAAAGCCTCAGCTCCCTGTCAGGAGAATTTTCCTCACAAAGGTGGATGGCGAGGCAGGACAGAAGAGGAAGAACAATTCTACAGCGCAGCGATGGCTCTAACTTGAACCCCACACATTGCTTTCACTGTTAAGACATGGAGTTTCATAGCTCAGGAGTTCAAGATCGCGCCCTTCCCAGAAACCCTTACACACCAAGACCCCTTGCAAAAGCAAGAGGTTTAATTTAACCATTGCACAATGGGGTCACCCCTGCTGTTCAGCAAAGAGTGGCACCCGGAGACAAAGGCCTTAGGTTTTTAAAAGAAAAAGTGCGGGAAATTTGAAGTTGCAGTTTTGGCAATTTAGGATTGGATGAGGAAGCTATAAAGTAAGATAATTGGTTAGTCTTAGGTGCTCAGGCTTGGCCAGTCCTGCCAAGTGTGGATGCAGCTGCAATTAAAGGTGGGGGTGGTTAGCTCATCTCTGAAGATTAGGGCTGCAGGCTCTTGGCTGGAGGTCAGGAGCTACTCAAAAGAATTGGGGCCATCTGGGTTGGTTGCTAAGAAACATGATCTCGCAAGGGTCTGGTCGTTCTTTTTGCTGAGTGATGGTCATTGCTTGCTTGAATTTTTTCTATCTGTCCTCACAGATAGGGTCACATTTCTCCATTCTCTGGAAAGGTACTAAGAGGCTTTAGCTTAAGCTGAACCTAAAACTCAAAACTACAGGCTTTAGAAGACATACAGGTTACAAAGTTAGTCTAACCCTTTCATCACCAGGGATTCTTATTGAGTCTCTGCCCTGAGTATAGAGTTCCACAGACTCACAGGTCCTTTGCTTCTTTAGAATGTGCCCAGATCCCTAGAAAGGCTCACTTTTACCCTTGTGATGCTCTGAATTTAATCAAGTCAGAGTTTATCCTACATTTAAAAATCTTCTATACTGGTGCTGTGGAAACTGCTCAGTCCTTCAAGTTCATACCACATAAGAACACGAATCTGTTTTTAGTTCTGCACAACTACAAAGAGAGGTAGGTGTGGTATCAATGAGTAAACAGAATTATGGGACATGGAGGCAGTGTGACCGGCCAAGAGACTAACCACTAGGTAGGATGCAGGCTGAGTAATGGAACTTATTTAAAAATTATCCTGTAGACCTTCAGAGTAAGACATCTCATATCAATATGCACACACACACACACAAACACACACACACCATCAGAAAGGAATAGACAGAATACACAAAGGCTGACTGAAACAGTGAGACAAAAACAGTAAGACAGGGAGACAGAGACAGACATACAGAGAGAGAGAGAGAGAAAGGCTATAACGAATAAATAGAAAAAAAAACACATATCACAAGGAAACAGAAAGTTGAATGAACATTTGGACACTTCATGGATTATTAAATACTAAACTTGTAGAGAGAATCCCTGTGAACAGGCAGGCGAAACACAGAGTCCAGCCCTCCATGTCCTCCAGGACTCTCCGGACAAGCTGTACTTCTGTCACCCAGAGCTCTGTGTGCTCTCAGCGCCCCCTGCTGGTCATGAGCGCCCTGCAGGGAGGTTTGTGTCTGAGCTCTCAGCAACATTCAGTCACTGTGTCTCTTGCACAGTAATATGTGGCCGTGTCCTCAGACCTCAGACTGTTCATTTGTAGGTACAGGGTGTTCTTGGCGTTGTCTCTGGAGATGGTGAATCGGCCCTTCACGGCGTCGGCGTAATAGGTGCCCCCACCAGTATTAATGTACGCGACCCACTCCAGCCCCTTCCCTGGAGCCTGGCGGACCCAGCTCATGTAGTTATTACTTAAGGTGATTCCAGAAGCTACACAAGAGAGTTTCAAGGACTTTCCAGGCTGCACCAAGCCTCCTCCAGACTCCACCAGCTGCACGTCACTCTGGACACCTGCAAACACAGAGAATACTGGCTAGAAAACTGTCATAAAAACAACAATTTCTCTTTCATGTCCACACAGCACACACAATCTCATCTGCATAACTGACCTTTAAAAATAAAGACAAGGAAAATCCAGCTGATCCCCAAGTCCATGGCGAATGGTCTGTGGTCAATGGTAATTACTGAATGGGAGGACCTGGGAATCCAGGGCTGGGCTCCTCTGCCAGAGCTGCAGGGTCAGGGCAGGGCTGGTTTTCAAGGGCACAGAGAAGCCTTATTTGCATGTCTTCCTGCTGTAGCTGCTCTGGAGTTGGACCTGGAGAGAAGGCAGTGCTCAGAGCAGATATAAGACATCTAAGTCATTGCTGACAGTTAGAATTTAACAAAGCATAGTCATTACATTTTCACATCTTTTGGTCAACAATTCTTCATACTTCATTCAGATGCCTTTTGTGCATATGTACAGAACATGCTTGTTTTCCAAACTGATGCATGTCTTTAGTATAACCGTGTTATTAAATTGTGCCACACCTAATTATGTTTCTATAGATGAGCTTAGTTTCTCCCACTGTCTGGGCTGCCATGGCTTCTCCCTGATGTAAATCTTGGACAGGGTCACTTCTGCAAGGAGATGTTAGCAGATCTCATTATCTGTGACTAGAAACCTTGAGAATTATCTGATTTTTACTCATTAGTACAGTATGATGTCCTCAGTCCTCATAGGAGCTTGCAACTGAGACATTCCATTCCCCTGTCTTTCTACCACTCAGAGTTTGCTATGGAGACACACTTCTGTTGCAGCAAAGTCACTTCTTTTTCATTCTGAATTCTCCCTGTTATTTCTTTTAAGTCCTGCCTCTACCATTTTCTTTTTGCATCTTTATTCCAGGCCACATGTGAATGTCTTTGTTGTGTTAAGGTGGTTAGTTTTCCCCATTTAATACAATTAGGAAAATCTGGGCTTTGAACTGATTTTAGGATGATTTTTTTTTTATTCAACCACTTCTCTCGTTTCCCTCCTGCTTTTCTCGTTTCTCTCCCCACATCTCACTTTTGATTTCACATCAACAACATTCCCTTGTTCTTGGTCCTCATTGTCCCACACTTAGGATGTGTTCTTCTCCTAGGATTCCCCTTCTAGTTCCAATACCTACAAAATGGAGGTCAGCACATAGGACACACACAATGTAGCCTCTGCATATGACAGAAACAGGCAATGTTTGTGTTTTCAATTCCTTGTTATATTGTTTTGCATAACATTTTCCAGTTCTGCTCATGTCCCTCCCTGTTGCAGAGAACACCTGACAAGAGGAGGTGAAAAGGGTGTAAGAGGTGGAGCATGGGAAATAATGCTGGGAGATACTGTTATGTGGACATGACATGGATATCACATTCATAAGTCATGGTGCATGTAGTTTTGTGTGTAAACCCTACATGAGACACAGCCAACTAAACACACAGTATAGATTGTGCAGATTATTTCCAGGGCTTATGTCTTAGTGAGGAATACTTATATATAGCCCTTTCATGGAGAGAATTTATCTGTTTGAAAATGTAGTCACTAGTACGTGTTCTATTCTGTAATCCTTGTCCCTACTGCACACATTCATATATAGGTAGGATTAATCAGCTTAAAATTGTTGTGAAATTGTAAGAGGTTTATGTTGGGAAGATATGAGAGGTGTTGAAGGACACCTGAGTTGAACCAGCCAGCCCAGAGCTGAAAATAAGTAAGAACAGGTGAACTTATTAAGCCGTAATTCTCAGAGACGGAAAACATTCCAGGACTCAGATTGTATGGAGGCTAGAAGATTCCAGGACTACACTTA